GCAATTGGTTAAACGCCCCGGCTTTATGGACAAGATTTAGCTAACCTGATAAAGGTTATATATTGAGCCGTCCCTATAGAGCAATTGGTTAAACACCCCGGCTTTATGGATTCGGCTAGCTAGACAATAGCAAATTAAATTTATCTAAATAAGGAGTTTCGGTAAAAATGGACTAAGGAGTTAAGGAACACCTGTTATAGTCAAATTCACACGAGCACTCAAGAATTTCATTTTTAAACCGATATTTCTGCACTACATTTGTTAGAGGAGCTTACAAAAATTGAACAAATAGAAGATTTCAGAGAACCAAAATAGTACGTCTAGTAATTGATAATGCTAGTTGTGTCATTTTGCCGGATCCAATTAAAATGCCAAGCCAAAGAAAAAAGCATGTTGCAACGACTCGAAAAAATGACATTTTTTTATGGTTGAAACCTTATGTCAGCCCAAAGCCAACTCATCCACTTGAATATTTGTCAAATAGTTATAACTCTAAAACATTAAAAGATCTATTGATTCTTTTGATATCATTTGAATTCATGTTTATGATTCGATTTGATTGCGAGCCTGAATTAAGTGGCAATGTTTTACAGAATTCTTCTATTTTCATATCATTTTTTCCCTCATAAGAGAAAGGAAAAAACATTTTCAAACAGGACAGTCTCTAATGTGAAAGGCTGCAACCTGAGAAGAAAATATGGCATGATCGATTCCAAGGATCAAGATCAGCGGACAAAGCACGAGACTCCGTCCAAGGCTCATTCATGTTTCATGCATCTTAGACATACTTAAGAGCATTACATTTATCATTTTCACATGAATAATTTTTTGAAGCTTTCATAGTCAAGTTTTGACTTCATGATGGAAGATACTCAATTCGAAAGCTCTTTTAAAAATCGATGGTGGTTGCTTGACTCAACAGTGAGAAGCTACACCTCAACCGACTTGACATATCTACAGATCTCAGAATCAATTTCAGATGGATTCGAGAGCCAATTCAGAACGAATCCAAATCAGTTTAACTCAATAACGAGTAGCAAGTTTCCAGTTAACATTTTCAAGCCAGATTTCAATTCCACGATGGAAGATATCTGACTGACAGAATTTATCAGTGGGTTTTCCCGTGAAGGGGGGTCATCCAAAAATCATATTACTTGGTTCAGACCCATTCATAGGAACCACCTGAAGAATTATGACCAGTTTAGACCCGTAAAGGGAAGCCATTTTTTTTAAGAAACTATTAGCAGCATAACTCAAGGCTATAAGGGTTATCTGCTAACAAAAGACCTTCGAGTTAGACTATGCTCAGCTCCAAGGCACATCATTTGCAGCATAGCTCAAGGCTAGAAGGGTTATCTTCCACCAAAAGACCTTAGAGTTTGACTATGCTCAGTTCCAAGGCACATCATTTGCAACATAGCTCAAGGCGAGAAAGGCTATTTGCCAATAAGAGACCTTCGAGTTCGACTACTCTCAGCTCCAAGGCACATCATTTGTAGTATAACTTAAGGCTAGAAGGGCTATCTGTCACCAAAAGATCTTCAAGTTCTACTACGCTTAGCTCCAAGGCACATCATTTGCAGCATAACTCAAGGATAGAAGGGTTATCTGCTAACCAAAGACCTTCGAGTTCGACTACGCTCAACTTCAAGGCATATCATTTACATCATAGCTCAAGGCTAGAAGGGTTATCTTCCACCAAAAGACCTTCGAGTTCGACTACGCTCAGCTCAAAGGCATATCATTTACAGCATAACTCAAGGATAGAAGGGTTATCTGCCAACCAAATACCTTCTAGTTCGACTACGCTCAGCTCCAAGACACATCATTTGCAGTATAACTCAAGGCTAGAAGGGCTATCTGCCACCAAAAGACCTTTGAGTTCAACTACGCTCAGCTCCAAGGCATATCATGCGCAACATAACTCAAGGCTAGAAGGGTTATCTGTCAACAAAGACCTTCGAGTTCGATTACACTCAGCTCAAAGGCACGTCAATTTACAGCATAACTCAAGTCAAGAAGGGCTATATGTCAACAAAAATTTTGAGTTCGATTCTATTCAGCTCGATGACACATCAACCAAACTACTTTCCGGTGGTAGCCGAGGTTTTCAAGTCGAGAAGATGACCTGGGTTAGCCGTGCCTTATTGACAAGAAACCATATTCCAACAGCGTAGCTTAAGTCGAGAAAAGCTATCTGTCAACGAAGATTTTTGAGTTCTATTTCGAGAGTCTATCGACCACATGGTGGAGCCGAGGAACTATTTTCCAGTCGAATTTCTAAACCTTAGTCTTTAAACCGAGAAGAAGACTGAGGTGGACTGCAATTTGAAGTCACATCCTGATTTCGAACTATGGCTTCAATTCTATATCATTTCAAGATGGACTCGACTTAGCGACGGAGGAGCCATCCGCAACTCAATTCGACAGGGAGTTATTCTTCAACTCCACTGAACGAAAATGTGTCTTTTTATCTTTGTCCTATTTTCGTTCCACGAAAAAGGACAAATAGGGGCAGCTGTAGACACTTATGTTCGTCCAGATTTGTTTTTTATATATTATTTTTTATAGTAATATAATATACATTTTGAAAATGCTTTTTTGAAAAAATATAATTTTTAGAAAATGGTTTTCTAAAATATATATACTATATAGTTTCGAAAACATTTCGAATATATATATATATATATATATATATATATATTATAGTTTTGAAATTTTTTGAAAACATAATAATATATAATGTATAGTTTTTGAAAATGCTTTTGAAAATATATAATATATAGTTTTGAAATCATTTTGAAAATATATATATAATATATAGTTTTTAAAATATTTTTTTGAAAAAACTTATATAATATATAATTTTAAATTTTTTTTGAAAAAACTATATAATATATAGTTTTAAAAACATTTTTCGAAAACTTATATAATATTTTTAAAATTATTTTTGAAAACTATATAATATATAGTTTTGAAAACGTTCTTTAAAAATATAATATATAGTTTAAAAATATTTTTGAAATATATATTGTATAGTTTATATTATATTATTATTATCATTTTTATTATTTTTATTTTTATTTTTATTTTATTCATTTAATTTAATTTAATTTTTTTTCTTTTTTGTCCAAGTCCAATATCTCCAAGTCTAAGTCCAACAGGGGTCCAAATGGGCACGGGCCCAGATCCAGGTTCTGACCCGCCTGACTCAGCAGGCCAAAACCGGGCACCCAACGTGTAAATCAGGTAAACCAAGGACCCGAAGCATACTAGGGTTCAACAATCAATCAGCGTCGTACGGGGGAGTTATACAGTGAAAGGGAGAACCGACCGACCGGAAAAACTGGGATTGCACCATCCCGGGATTCCCAGCCACGTGAACCAACGTTAGGCCCGAAAGGTATGGGAACGACCCCGTCGTCACCGAAAACAGCCCCATTGGGGGCTATATAAATACCAATGGAGGGTACACCGAGGGGAGGTGAACAATCGGCCAACAAATTGAACCAAACACATCAACGACGAGAACAATAAACCAAGGAACTACAACCATCACAAAAAACACCCCACGGAGAAATACAAAACAACCAAAGGCAACCAAGAAACCGAATAAAGCATATACAAAAAAAATCAGAAAAAAGCGAGAGAATCAAAGAAGCATACAACCAAACCGTTCCCAAAGGCGAGAAGTAAGAAGGCTTGATGTGCGTAGGAATAGGAAGAGCCATCGAAAGCTAAAAATCACTGGAAAAGGGTAGGTGTCGAGTGGTATTTGTTTAGATATGCGTTTATTTGGGTATATTTTGGGGATTTGGACGTTGATTTTGGGCTCACGGGACTGGCACGAACGTTTTGGTGATCTCAGGTTCTTTCCGGTTGGTGACCACCGGACGGTGGCTAGATTTTCATCGGGGTTGGGGATTGGAGAGTATGAGAGAGTTTAGGAGATGAGGGAGTTATTGTTCGAGAGAAGAGGTAAAAATAAGGGGTTTAGGGTTATTTTTTAGCTTTTATACCCGACCCATTTTCAACCCCGACCCGACCCAGGGATTGATAGGATCCGCGTGTTTTTTGAATGAAAAGGGTAAATTATGTTTTGGTCCCACTGCTTTTGAAACATTTCATTTAGACCCCTAAATCAGTCTTGTACTTCGATTTCTTCTTAATTTTACCATCAGTTTTAGTATTATTTCAATTCAATCCTTTTTATGTTCTATTTTATATTATCTTAATTTGTTTATTTTATTTTTTTATTATTTAATTGATACTACTCTTGTTTATATATATTTTATTTATTTCTTTATTTTATTTTATGATTATTTTTTTATTATATATACTCTATATTATCTTTTTTTATATATATATTTTTTATTTTCTATTTCCTTTTTATTAACTCTTGTCTATCTTTATAGTTTATTTTATTTTATTTTATTATTATATTAATGTGTATATATATATATGTATATTTTTTTTGCTTTTCTTATTTATTTTTATTTTTACCATCTAACATTTTTTCGACATTTTCAGAGATAATTTCAATTAATCAAATGTAAGTAATTCGAATCGGGTAATTTAAATTTAAATTTATTAATTTTTGCAAATGAAGAAATTAATTGATACCGAAAGGACGGTTCAAGGGTGCTAATCCTTCTTCGACCGTAATCGACTCCTGAACCCGACACATTTCTGGTAAAACGCAGATCAGGTAAGATGGTGTCCGACCTACCTAAATTCGTTTTAAAATGGTTGGTGGTGACTCAAACTCAATCAATTCAAGTCGAAGCCCAATTCCAAGCCAACCGAAAGACGGCAGCGACAATTCCATTGTTACATGCTTGGAGTCGGCACATCAAACACAATAATAAGAGAAATAATATATGTATTGAATCTATTACTAAAATCCTGATCAACTTTATATGCAACTTCCGATTTTATATTAAGAGTTAGAAAGAAATGAGAAGATTTCACCACCTAGATTGTGTTGTGCTCTCTACCTTCTATAACAAAGGAGGAAGTACGTTCTTCCAACTGGTGGATTTTCGGGCTACGGATCTGGGCAAGATGCTGAATCCGACTACTTCCTTGGGTTCTTGACCCGGTTCTGCAAACCCTACCAACTTCGACACTAGAGCTGCACTCTCTTTCACATGCCCCATGTCCTGCGTCTTTGTCCATATACGTTGCGAAAGTTGTAAGCTTCTCTGCTTAGTGTTCAACCCAATTCCCCACTTCTTGTACAGTTCCTCTTTCTGTTTTTTCGATAACAACTTTTGTATTTGCTTGCACAACATTTTCCTCTCACGAACCAAATCCTTCGCACTGCCACCACACAAGAAAATTCGCTTTCAATTCAATCGGGTCAAAAGGTTACTTATTTCTAAGTTGCATGTTCCTATGGCTCAGACTTGTTCAAGGGTTACTTCACGTTTTAAAATTTTGATTAGTTTCGAGTTTTAATCAATTTTGGATTTATATTATTATGAGTTTAGGTCATTTTATGTTCGAGTCATTCAGATTTAAATTATTTTTAGTTCAGGTTTGAGGTTAAATTTTTTAGGTTTGATTACTATGGTTTTGGTCATTTTGAATTGTAATTACTAGAGTTCATTTCAGATTGAAACCATTTTTCGTTATTTTAAGGCTCCATTTGTAGGTTTGGTTATTACAAGCTCTATTCATTCAAGTTGTATTCATTTTAGGTTCTAATCATTTCGGGTAATTCATTTAAACCATTTTAGAATCAAGAAAATTTGGGTTTGGATTGGACATATTCAAATTAATGGTTAACATTTTATAATTAAATCAGGTTGAATCAAAATTGGGTCTAGAGATTGAAGTGCATTTTACTGTTCCAACTAAAGAAATCTAAAATTCACCTTGAAGCTGCAGTGTCAATTGGAGTATCTTTGAAACCATTGCTTCCCAATGGCATTGAGTTCTTTAGAAAAGACAATCTTCTGAACTCTACCTCCATATAAATGGAATCAGAAGGGTCGCCTTTGAAAAGCATGATGAAATAGGTTCTATGGATTAAAGGTACATTGCATGCATCCCAAAGTTCGATTATCTTTCTCTGTAAATTCTCGAATTCAACGGGCCAACTAGAATGCAGTTTCACGGAATCGTTACTTTCTGTGGAATTCTCGGTCTTATCCTTGGTTTCAGGTGCCTAGCATCCATATATGATTCAAACGGAGAAAGGACAAATGCTAGTACCCTAATAATCATACTAGGTCTTATGGCGATCTAAGTCATATCAAACGAGATTGATGTCAATACAAAAGACGTATTTCATGTGAAAAATAAGAAAAATGAAAGAAAGGAATAAGGTTCGTCACCAATTTCTTATCATTTTCTGTTTCTGGTTGCGGTTTTATCTCACTGCCACCTTCAGGAAGATCAGTGGCACCGGTAAATGAATTTTGAGATCGACTTCTGGACATCTTTCCATTTCTGTTGTCACCTTTCAGTTCAGAAAGCTTACGGGAAAGGGCTTTTGCGTTTTGAAGGAAGTCCTTTTCAACTGTTGTGGAAGGGGGTATGCTTTCATTGTGTTGCGGGTTCTCAAAGTTAGGTGAAGATGGTACATTTCCCTGCAGCTTCTGCTTCTGCTTCTGCTCATGGCCGTGTCACCAGAGCTAGTTGTATCTAATGCAGGAGGCGAATCCCCTATAGTGACTAGACATTTGATTGTCTTCTGCAGCTCCTGTATTTTTTGTTTCAGTGCCTCGTAAGTTCCATCTTTACAAACATGACTTGATTTCAAATCCTCCTTTTGGGGGGATGATACTACATATTCTTTCATGGTTTCAGTCATGTCTAATTTTCCTTCAATACCCTCAGGAGCACTGAGGGATACCTTTTCTTCCTCTTCCTCGGGAATAGCTGATAATTGATTTGCTTCTATTTCCTTGACCATGGACCCCCTCATGGCTGGTTTCCCTTCCTGTGCCTCGGAACCAATTGATAATTCTCTTTCATTCTTCTCAGAAATCGAAGAGGAAACAACTGCTTTTTTCATTCATCTTAATGTTCGAGTCTTCGAATTCAATGCATCGAACTTCCTTGCAGTTATCTTCGAACTCTTCACCCATATTTACAGCCTCATTGAAGCCGTTGCTTGTATCAGGTCCAACCAACAATGGACTGATGCCATCGGGATGACATTCCTCTTCATAGCTCTCTAGAGGAATCAGATATTGGTTGTTGGTCATAGGCACACTTGGTGCAACAGTATACCTATGCTTGCTGTGATCAATAGTACTACAGGGAGCATTGACCACTTTAAATGAATTTGATGATGGATATTCTGCACTCTTTAACATTTGAACTTCTCTAACTGATAGTAGCAAATTCTCAACTCGAGATTGAGCAAGGTCACGTTGTCGAGTCAACTCTTCTATCTCTCTGGTCATCTGTAGATTCTCGAAAGAGAAAAAGCAAGGTTAACATGAGTAAATCGTTTAACTGAGGGCATGCTGCAACTTACAACTTGCTTTATCTTATCCATATAACAAATCTAGTGATAACTACAAAAAGCCAGGGTTTATACTGGTATTTACTTCTATTTTTCCTAAGATGCAAGATATCATGCGTAAATGAATGGAAAATGGCTTTCTGATGTCGTATAATCACCTGCTCAATGAGTTGCTCTTTCTCTCTCAACAAACTAGCCATATCAAGTTTGAGGGGTGATGCGCCCAAGCACCTCATTTCGTTCTCCAGTTTAGCCAATTCTCTTTGCAATTGCTTTACCAATGCCTTATCTGACATAACTAAATTGACTTGTGCATTGGTTGCTACCTTTTTAGCACAGCTTGCAAATGAGAGAGTGTTTCTCGATTGTTCAACATGACTACGGTCAGGATTCATAGTGCAAATGATAGCTGTTCTGGCATTGCCTCCTAAAGCATTCTGGAGTATGCGTGTTAGCTTAGAGTCTCTGTAAGGTACATGACTATTTCTTCCTTTGCTGCAAAATATATTGCCATGTAAATTTGCCATACACTATGTTTATGAGTTAAGGATACAGTTTCTATAATATTTGTTTAAAAAAGAAAATGAAAAAAAAGAAGTTATTTAACCTTAGCTTGCGAATCACAGTTCCAAGAGTTAATAAACTTCGATTTATGTGGCAGCCTTCTTTCAATCTTGCACCAGAAGATAAGGTCTGAGAGTCACGCTCGCTTCCAGCTAAATCAATAAAATTCTGCATAAGAAACCCCAGTTAGACTTTCCTTGTCATCCAGCTTACTACTTACGATTTTAAAATTGAATAATCTTTCCATTGATTCCCATCTAAAACAAGACAAGTGCTTTTCCTTTAAGAAGTTAACAATATTATACCACGGAAGCTGCAAGAACGCTTGAATTTTTGGCTCCAGCATATTCAGTAGTCGAACTTTCAGCTGTCTGCAAATTACATCATTGAACGCAGCTATAAGACTGGCACAACATAGATAAAGAAAGTTTATTCAAGTAGGGATGCCTACCAGCCGCAAAATCTGATGTGATCTTGAGCTAGTTTCATTCAAAGCGGTCTCTCCTATGTTGAAAATTCAATATTAGCCTAAATAAGTTAACACCTAAATTAATTTGATGTCATTACTTACATCAATTTAGTTTTGATGTCATTGCTTACATCAATTTAGTTAGGTGAAAATTAAGTATTTTTCTCATGTTTTTAATTTCAATGGTTTAGATTATTTAGTGATTATTTTAATGAGTAGTTTAGATTGTTTCTTGTAACCTATAAATACCCTACTTGTATTTGAGTTTTATCATCCAACAATCAAAGCTTAATTATAAGCATTTGAAAGCTTTCTTAAGAGTTCTTCCCATTTGCAATTTTGTGAGATTATTCTAAAGAGAGTTTTTCTTCTTCTAGATCAATTAGAGTTTTTACTCTATTTTGATTCTACAATTGGTATCCGAGCCACGTTTTTAAGGTCTCTTGAAATTCCAAGTATGCTCTGTGGTTGCAGTTTTTAACTGATCTTCCACATCAGAAAAGATTTCTTGAGATTATTGTCGGGGTTATTACAAATGAGCTTCTTTGTGCTTAGAGTAATTTAGTACTCAGTACGTTTGTTACTCAAGTTTGTTCGGTGTAGTCAAAGCCTTTCCATTAAGATGGGCGATCTTCAAGTAGTTGGAGGAATCAAAAAGCTCAACAACAAAAACTACAACATGTATGGAGTCATACTTACAAGGTCAAGACCTTTGGGAGGTTGTCAGTGTTGGTGAAGTTACACAATCGGCGGCAGAAGATGCCAATGACATCTTGCGAAAGTGGAAAATTAAAGCAGACAAAGCAATGTTTGCTTTAAAGACCACAATTGAAGAAGAAATGTTGGAGCACATTCGGGATGCTAAAATACCAAAGGAAGCATGGGACATTTTTGTTACACTCTTTTCGAAGAGGAACGATACAAAATTGCAACTTCTCGAGAATGAACTTCTATCAATGGCGCAACGCGACATGGCGGTTGCCTAATACTTTCACAGGTGAAGTCGATATTCCGTGGATCCGACAACTGCTATTGGGGAAGCCAGGATAAAAAGAATAATTGTCCATGGTTTGAGACCCGAATATCGAGGGTTTGTTACTGCTGTACAAGGATGGCCGACACAACCATGGCTTGTTGAGTTCGAAAATTTGCTTACAGGTCAAGAAGCCATGGCCAAGCAAATAGGAGGAGTCTCGCTGAAGGGTGAAGAGGAAGCGCTCTACACCAACAAAAGCAGAGGCACTTTTCAGTGGTATACTGGCAGTGGATCTAAAAAGGATGGTGACAAGGTGAAAAATTACCAAGGAAAGGAAGGCACTCATTCAAGAGGAGCATCCAAGAATCGTGGTAATAGTAGAAAGTTCAATGGAAAGTGTTACAACTGCGAGAAGATGGGTCACATGGCAAAAGACTGTTGGACCAAGAAAAAACATGTTGAAAGTAATACTGCTACTTCCAGTTCGAAGGAGAATAGTGAAGATGGTTGGGATGCTGAAGAGTTATTTGCTACGGAAGAAGAAGAATTAGCTCTCACGGTAACAACACCAGAACAGATTGACTACAAGAATGATTGGATCATAGATTTGAGCTGCTCAAATCATATGACGGGTGACAAACAGAAGTTGCAAAACATGTCTGAGTATAATGGAGGTCGTGTGGTGGTGACAACTGACAACTCAAGGTTACCGATAACTCACATCGGTAAGACGATAGTTACGCCTCGATATAATACTAACCAGGTGCAACTTCAAGATGCTTACCATGTCCTAGGAATGAAGAAAAATTTGCTATTTGTGGATCAACTAACATCATCAGGCCATTATGTCTTATTTGGTCCCCAAGACGTGAAGGTTTATCGTGACGTCAAAATCTCAGAAACACCAATAATGGAGGGACGACGTTTGGAGTCAATTTAGGTGATGTCAGCAGAGTCTGCATATGTGTACAGAACAATAAAACAATGAGACATCAGATCTATGGCACATGCGGTTAGGTCACGTTAGCTATTCCAAGCTAAGTGTGATGGTGAAGAAGTCGATGCTTAAGGGGCTTCCTCAACTAGACGTGAGAACAAACACGGTCTGTGCGGGATGCTAGTATGGTAAAGCACACCAATTACCATATGACGAGTCGAAGTTTAAATCAAAAGAACCGTTGGAGTTGGTTCACTCTGATGTGTTCGAACCGGTTAAGCAGCAGTCAATTAGCGGTATGCGGTACATGGTAACATTCATTGATGACTTCTCCAGGTATGTGTGGATTTTCTTTATGAAAGAAAAATCTGACACATTCTCAAATTTTAAAGAGTTCAGAGACTTAGCTGAAGGAGAAGTGGGAAAGAAGATATGTTGCTTGCGCACAGATAACGGAGGAGAATATAGATCAAACGAGTTCTCTCAATACCTAAGGGAGTGCCGAATACGTTATCAGTACACTTATGCCAACACACCACAACAGAATGGTGTAGCAGAAAGAAAAAACCTGCATCTTGCAGAAATTTGTCGAAGTATACTAAATGCGAAGAACGTACCTGGAAGGTTTTGGGCTGAAGCAATGAGGACTGTAGCCTTTGTGATTAACAGACTTCCTCAACCAAGGTTAGGATTTGTTGCACCATTTGAGAAACTATGGAATATGAAACCTACAGTTAGCTACTTTCGAGTATTTGGCTGTGTATGTTATGTGTTTATTTCTGATCATTTACGGAGCAAATTTGACAAGAAAGCTGTTAGATGTATCTTTGTGGGATACGACAGCCAGAGAAAGGGGTGGAAATGTTGTGATCCAATTAGTGAAAGATGCTACACGTCACGAAATGTGGTATTTAATAAAGCATCTTCTTGGTGGTCCTCGGAGAAGGAGGTGTTACCAGATTCGAGAGAATTTGGAGACAAGCTACAACAAACGACGGGGGAGCATGTTGTTCAACTCCAAACAAGTTCAAATGAATCAAATGATCCAAATGGTGATGATGTCGAACGAATAGTGACTCAGAATCCTTGGCAAACTGGCGTGTATCAACAACCAAACGAAGAAGGTGGGCCTAGTGAAACAGAAGAATCAATTCCACAATCTCAACTCCGAAGGTCAACAAGAATACGAAGGCAAAATTCCAAATATGTCAATGCAGCCATAATTGAAGAAGTAACAGAGCTTGAGACGTTCGAAGAAGCTTCTCAGACTTCTGAGTGGATGACAGCTATGAAAGAAGAGATCGATGCACTTCAGCAAAATCAAACTTGGGATCTTGTGCCAAAGATAAAAGATGTGAAACTCATATCTTGCAAATGGGTTTACAAGATAAAGCGTCGTCCTGATGGGTCAATCGAGAGGTACAAGGCACGATTGGTAGCTCGTGGTTTTTCTCAACAATATGGACTAGACTATGATGAAACATTTAGTCCAGTGGCAAAACTTATAACCGTACGAGTTCTACTTGCACTTGCAGCCAACAAAGACTGGAATTTATGGCAGATGGATGTGAAGAATGCTTTTCTTCATGAAGAGCTAGATCGAGAGATCTACATGACCCAACCGATGGGTTTTCAGAGTCAAGATAATCCTAAACATGTGTGTAAGCTGTGAAAAGCACTCTACAGATTGAAACAAGCACCTAGGGCGTGGTATGGTAAGATTGCTAAATTTCTAACGAAAAGTGGCTATTCAGTAACACCTGCAGATTATAGCTTGTTCGTCAAAGTCAATAAAGGTAAGCTAGCTATCGTGCTAGTCTACGTGGATGACTTAATCATAGCCGGTGATGATGAGACAGAAATTCTTCAGACGAAGGAGAATTTATCAGTTCGTTTCCAGATGAAGGAACTTGGACAACTTAAGCACTTCCTTGGTCTAGAGGTTGATCGCACACACGAAGGAATATTTCTATGTCAACAGAAATATGCTAAAGATTTGTTGAAGAGGTTTGGAATGCTCGAATGCAAGTCAATTTCAACGCCAATGGAACCAAATGTTAAAATGTGTGCACATGAAGGAAAAGATTTGGAATATGCAACAATGTATCGATAATTGGTAGGTAGTCTGATCTACTTAACCTTGACCCGACCTGAAATTTCTTATACAGTTGGTGTGATGAGTCGGTATATGCAAAATCCAAAGAAGCCTCATTTGGAAGCAGTTCGACGAATATTGAGATATGTGAAGAGTACAATTGACTATGGACTTTTGTACAAGAAAGGTGAAAACTGCAAGTTAGTTGGTTATTGTGATGTTGATTACACAGGAGATCATGACACCAGGAGAGCAACAACTGGGTATGTGTTTAAGCTTGGCTCCGGAATAATTTCTTGGTGTAGTAAGAGACAACCAACGATATCATTGCCAACCACTGAAGCTGAGTATCGAGTAGCAGTAATGGCAGCTCAAGAGAGTACATGGTTGATACAGTTGATGAGTAATCTACATCAACCAGTAGATTATGCAATTTCGTTGTATTGTGACAACCAATCAGCAATTCGGCTGGCAGAGAATCTTGTTTTTCATGCAAGAACTAAACATGTGGAAGTACATTACCACTTTGTTAGGGAAAAAGTTTTGCAAGAAGAGATTGGTATGAGGCAAATCAAGACAGATGAGCAAATTGCTGACTTGTTTACAAAAAGCTTGAGTGTTGGAAAGTTTGAACATTTTCGTCATCGTCATGGCGTGATTCAAAGAATGGAGGCTAACATTGAGAGGGAGTGTTGAAAATTCAATATTAACCTAAATAAGTTCACACCTAAATTAATTTGATGTCATTGCTTACATCAATTTAGTTTTGATGTCATTGCTTAAATCAATTTAGTTAGGTGAAAATTAAGTATTTTTCTCATGTTTTTAATTTCAATGGTTTAGATTATTTAGTGATTATTTTAATGAGTGGTTTAAATTGTTTCTTGTAACCTATAAATACCCTACTTTTATTTGAGTTTTATCATCCAACAATCAAAGCTTAATTATAAGCATTTGAAAGCTTTCTTAAGAGTTCTTCCATTTTTTAATTTTGTGAGATTATTCTAAAGAGAGTTTTTCTTCTTCTAGATCAATTAGAGTTTTTACTCTATTTTGATTATACATCCTATCTGCCTTTGTGCTGCGCAAAAATTTGCCAAAATACACAAAAAATGTCATCCAATGATGCAAAGAAAATGAGATGGACCAATGGTGTTTTATAAACACTTAACCTTCATAGATTGAAAGGAGCTCCTGAAGATGTTCCTTGTCTATTATAGTTTCCTCAGTTAGTCTCTCCACAACGGTTCCCCTCTGTTGAAGTGAAAACAACACTATATAAAGGTTAATGCTCATGCAAAACGACAAGCAGAAAGATAAAGAAGGAGAAAATTTTGACCTCTGGATCATCTAGGAGTCTGAGTGGGGTAGTATCCGAGCTAAGGAGGTCTCTCACAGCTTCATTATATATCTCCATGGCAGAGAATTTCACCAAAAATTCTCTTTCTTGATGCTAAGATATTGGTCAGAACAAAATGTCATTTCCAAGCCACATAAGAGTATGAAAAGGTGATCCAAAATTTATCACATTACCCTTTTTATTTAGTCATATATATCCGCTACTGCATAATCGGTGATCCCCTCATTGTATATGTCTTTCCACTACTTGTCTGCCCATATGCAAATATGCTCACTGAATAAAATAAAAAATCAGTAAAAACATTTACATTATTTTATGGTTATAAATAACTGGAAATTGTTTTTTTTGTCGGGTGGTGTAGAAAAAGAAGAATACTTACAATTAATACCATGTACTACTGAAAGTGCTACGTCTTTAGCTCCTTCCTCATACACTTGACTCGTAGGGCAGTCACAGTCAAAAACTCTGTCTATTCAAAAAAAAAAAAGAAGAGAAAATTACAATGATTAGAAGTCAATCTCAATTCCCAAATTAAAAAACAAAAAACAAAGAACTGCTTGTGTCTGGTCTAGCTCTTTGAATCTTGTCATGTATACATAATATGAAATTGTCCTTTAACCTTGAATACATCTCCATGAATTTGGACCCAACGTCCTAACACACGAGAATGCACTCCAGACATTCGCAAATCTAAAAATATTTTTGGGAGTGGACACACACACATATATATATTAACAATACAAAATTTTTATACGGGTGAGCACAAATAAAATTTCATGATGGTCATAGTCAATAACATATAACAGATACCAATTGTTTGACATTGATGAACTTATGAATACTCAAACAAGACAATTCCTAATTATGCATTGACAACATGATGCAACGAGGCTTGGGGTCGTAACAGTTCAATAATTAAAACACAACCAAATGTTACCAAATGTGTAAGCGTCAGGCAAGCTGCTCTTGAAAACGATGGTGTCATTGTTAATGCATTCCCAATCAGATGTACCGTGCCGTGCTCTCTCTTTATTGTTCAATGGCCTTACTCTAACGGAAACAAAAATTCTCTCTCCTTGCTCTTGAATTAATTCCGCTTCCTCATTCATTGTTCCCGTTTCTCTCTTATCCTAACCTTTCTATTTTTCCTTCTTTCTGAACCTCCCTAAATTTCCTTTAAACGCACCGTATCTAAGATTTAGAATCAGAAATCATGTCGTTCCTCCGTTTCGAAGCCATTTTCTCTGTAGTTCCATCTCTCGGGACAAATTTCAATTACTTTTATGTTCCATTGATCCTTCCAAATCAAAACGTAAGAATTAACATCAACATTAATGGTGAATGATAAGCAATTCAAAATTTTGAACATATAAATGAAATTAATGCGATTCGAACAATCCTCTTACCGTGGCGCGCTTCAATTCAAGAATCGAAACATGAAGAGAGAATCATATCCAAAACGCTTCAACTAGCAATTCAAATCAATCAACAGTCTGTCAGTAAAGAAAGGATAAAAAATGAAAAGAGGAATGAGGGTTTACTAAACTTTAAATTCTCCCTCCTTTTTAAACAGAGGAAGGCATTTGCGGTTATTAAAAATGATCCCAAAAAACGTTCTAAAGAACAGCTAGAAATGGATGAATCAAATTCCCGAAATCTGAGAAAAACAAAAAAGAAAGAAACAAATGATTAACTCAGCTAACAGTTAAAATCTTATCTCTCTCTGAACATAACATTTCGTTTTGCGTGAGAGAAAGAGAGTTGAAGAAACTGACACTGGCAATGCCAACGCTAAAATGAAATGGCCGTTGTTCTTCCCCTCCCTTTCTGACTTGGATCCGTACCGACCTTTCAAAAATAACGGCTTATTCTAATTATAATATGAACATCGACGATTACTGTTTTCACCTTCATAGCGTCTCTTATTAACACACTCGCCATCCCACAACCTGAGCTTTTATTATTATTTCATAAAAATAACATTATTGAATTATTGAATATTTAAAATATATTAATTAATAATTTTTAGAATGCAATAATTAATATAATTTATAATTATTTTATTTTATTTTAATAAAATATAATAATCTGAATATTTTTATTTATAAAATTATAGAGATAATATTTTAATAACAATATTGACATAAATAATGTTAAATAAATTATTCTAATATTTTAAAAATATTTTATTATTTTTTATAAATAATATTATTTATTATATTCTATATTTATAATATCAATTTTTAAAAAAAATTATAATAAATTTTTATGTTCGTATATGTCAATTCTAATGTGAGTTTTATTTTATTTTTATTTTGTAGAGACGAATTTGTTATTTCTTGAAAAAATTTAATAAATAAATAAATATTGGGGGTGAAAAAAAACTTCAAATGCATGGAGTCCATATTCACTTTAACTTTATAAAGTTGTATCTAATGGAAATTAATGGGTAAGTCAATTTTCCTTTTTCTTTTTCTTTTTTATAACAAAAAGGTACTTGAGACCCTTGTTATATTCAATAGAATGCTCCTCTTAATTGTGAAATTATTTTTTTATAAATTTTAAAATAATAAAATTTCATAATAATTAACAAAAAAAAATTCATAACTTTTAAAATTTATTTTTATAAGATTTTATAAGATTTATTTAATTCAATTTTATAAAAAAATTTAGTGAAATAGAATTAGAAGGAAATTTGGAGTTTAAGATAAATAGAGGTAAATATATAAAATAAAATTTATGAAGGATAAATGAGTTTAAAATTATATAAATAAAAATCAGGTTAAGTTTGAGATAAAAAAATATTAATATATATTTAATTTTCATTAATTTAATTTTTATTTTTGATATTTTATTATATTTAATTTCTTGAATATTTTTATATTTTATATATTTTTATTTTTTTAAATCAAATAAGCCCCTGGACTTTAAAAAATCAATTTGACCCTCGAACTCAATAAAAAACTAATTTGACACATTTGTCATATCATCAGCAGTCACCATGGATCGCCACACTAACATTGTAGACCGTCATGTCAGTAACGTGAAGTGTCATATCAACATCGTAACGGTTAACGACGAAAATTGTTGATCAAAGAGTCACATTATATTATTTTTCTAAATTTGAGGATCACATTGAGTACAAAAATAAATCAAGAGTCACGTTCGTTTTTTAAAAAGTACAAAAACCTCAATTACCATTTGCCTAAATTTTATTCACATTCTTCTTGTTTTTTTTTTTTTTTGTTATTGGATTTTTTATGGTTTAATGATAAAAAGACCCTCGATAAAAAAAATGAAAACAAAAACCAATTATTCCTCATAAAATTGTTGTAATTAATTACGCCCTCGTTTTACAAAATAATCGATTAACATTTTTGTTAAAGAAAATCATCATTGACCAAATTAAATGTTAACGAAATGTGATGTTAAAATTTTAAAATTTTAATATTTTTTTATCAATTTAAATATAAAACGTTAATCTAGATTTAACATAAAATATATTTAAAACCGTATGATAAAGTTTAAATATAATAGTCAAATTAATAAAAAGATTTAGATTACACAATGATATTATAAGGATTTCATTAAAATATTTTAAATTTTGTGAATCAGTTAAAAATTTAGGAGATAATTTTGGGACATTCTATACAATTAATCCAAAAATTTATTAAAATTAATTTTTTTAATTTTATTGAGGTGTTTTTTCCCTAATGGTTTATTGAGATTTGAGGCTAATAAATTATCTCAACCCTGATTTTTGTTCGGTCCTTAGCTTCAAAGTGAAGAGCCTTGAAGGGACCGTTAGAGACCAAAGTTATAAATAAACGCAAAATTAATATAAAGCCGTTGTCGCAAAATTAATATAACGCAAAGTTATAATTAATTTTAAGAGTTTTTAAGTGATAATTATTTTTTAAATATTACATTTTAAATATTTTAGAACTGTATAGATAATCAAATAACTTATGAAACTAACTCAATCACACACTTAATTAATAATATAGATTATATAAAAGGTATACAACAAATCAAAATCATGTTAACATCCAAAAATAAATAAGTAGAAACAAAATTTAAATGCTTTAAGTACTTGTAATCTATTCCATATTATAATTGTATCTAATTGAAATCAATTTAAATGTTTATATAAATTAGATTAGAGTATTTTAATAACATTTAATTGTTTAATAAAATAATATTTAATAATTATATTATTGCACGAACCAAGTGACTTCGGTAGTAAATGAATTGTTGTTGTTCATAGAGATCACGGGTACGAGCACCATGAATATCAGGAGTGTGAGCGTTCAATGTCAAATGATTGAGAGTAACAATCTTTATACATATATTGTTTTGTACTTACCTCATATTAATAAAAAAAATTGTATTTTAATAAAATGAGATAGTATGAGTTAAAAAGAAAAACTTACGATTACTCTGATTCATTCTTTAAAGTTTAAGGTTATGAGATTAAATGATGCTTAATTAATGTTTAGGTTATGTTTAATAAATGTTGAAATTTTCTTTTTCAATCCTATACCATATATAGCTTTTCAATCCAGAGCTCCAAAGAAAAGAATACAATCTTTTAACTAGGAGACCACTTGATTATTCTCACAGGTTCTTGAACTTTTTAACAAGGTGTAATTCTTTAATGGTAAGTATAATTGTTTTTTATAAAAAAATATAACTATTTCTCGTATCTTTTCGGTAAAAACAACATAATGGATTAAACCAACAACCAGAGTTTTAAATTGCGGTTACAGTCTCGTTTTCAGTCATTTCGGGTTTACTGTGATTGTGGCCGTCGCGGGCGCTATTGCAGCCGTCACGGGCGCTATTGGATGCTATTACGGGTATAGCGGGTAACTCGGACGGCGGCTAAATCGCTATTTCGCGGGCGCCATCACGTTTTTGGACCGAGATTTGAAACCCTGCCAGCAACAAAACTGACTTAAAAGAATTAGCTCACAAATATTTAGCACATGCAAAACCGATGACTTGAATCATCTATTAGGCATGATGAGATAGAAAATCAATTAAAACTCAAGCAATGGCTATGTTTCCAGTCAAGCCAACGCGATACAAACTCTAACACTTATAAATTATTACCATTATTATTATATAGTATTATTAAAATGAAAACACATGACATGTAGATACCAGAGGTTGCATCCCAGGCACAACATAAGATAAGCATGTCTAGGTTAAGTGGGAGATCAGTGATGCACAATTTTGGCGTGACAATGATGGTTATAATGACATTGAT